GCCAAAGCGAGCAAGAGACCAATCGCATATAAATTCCCTTAAAACTTATTGAATGGCTGCAATGGAGACTGATTCATCAATCAGTCAATCGGCACCTGTGAGTGGATGGCGATAAAGTGGTGTGGGGCTGAGGCCTTTCTTTAATGGTTGTGTTACGATCAAAGAAAAGAAACCAACTTACTACATACATAAAGGGATCCCCAATCTCTGAATATAGGGTTACGACCACATATCTTCCGACGGAGAGTATATGATTGAGCCCGGGTTGATCATTCAAGTAATCATGAGATGGAAACATCGTATGACTACAAGAATGTGCTACATGCACCCGAAAGTTTCATTCTGTGAGCTTCTATTTGTGGATCACTTGGCCGCTTTAACTTTATGAAGATATGTGAAGTTGATATATTTGGGACATATGCGTGGCTTCCATTCATCATCTGCCCCACTACTGTCAGGAAACAACACACGAATAGCACAAAGGTCACAAAAAGTTATTTATGTAATGAAATTATGTATCTTCAAAATATGTGGAATATTTGCATAATCCGATCTATTTCTCAGAACTACCATTGGTCCTTTGAAATCTGAATAAGCTGCCAGGATCCTTGTTTCCCATAGGATTTACCAGCATGTTTCTCAGTTTACCTTGGTATTTTTTCTCATCTCTACACGCTTATTTGTGTAATAAAATTAATTCAGTAATTTGTAATCTACATTTTTGTAATAAAATCATTTTTGAAATCTGTACAGAATACATTAAATTTTGTGTAGTGTAAGTGGGCTTCAAATTCAACATGGTAACAATTTTTATTTTGAGAAATCACATCCATACAAAAGATCTACATAAACAAATTTGCACTTGCTGGAAGTTAAATGAAGAATGTATTGATATTTGAACTTCAAAATGATCTGGAAAAGAATCAAATTTTAGAATAGCTTTGGAGTCATCAATATTTGGATCAAATAAGGTTAGAGTTGTATTGAATGAGCTTATATAGTTTTTTGTTATTTATCCCAGGAGTTATATTCTTCATTGAGCCATTTTCTGGACTTGGATTTATGATGTCAAAATGCAATGGTTGACTGGAAATTGAAGCCTTGACAGGTTGGGAAGAAGAAAAGGTACAGGAAAAGCTCTTTGAGTTAGCTGTTGATTTATCTGAGTCGTACATACTATCATATATCTCCAGACTTACCACAACCAAAATCTCTTGCAGTGCAGTTTTGACCTGGGTTTCCAGACACCTGAGATTGCAAGGAAAAATGTGTGACTTTCCAGCATAGAATTGGATGTGCCTCCAGATTTATGTCAATTTTCCGAGGAGCTTAAAAAGTGTTTCTCAGATTTCCAGAAACCCAAAGTGTGAATGACCCAGATGTTTCCAAAGCTTTCTAAGGCTATGGTATTGATTGCCATCATGCAAGCTGAGGTATTGGTATGTGATTTTACTCTCCTTTGAATCATGGATCCAGATCTTGGCTGACACTCATGTATTACCATTGATATGAATTACAAGATGGTATCAAACATGGGAAACAATTGTGCCTGTAGGAGCAACTACTTATTATTAGACTGTAAAAGCTTATTGAAGTGGGTATTGAAAGGGAACAAATATTGTTGTAATGCGGTCCAAGTGATGCAGTCACAAAATTATTTTGTAGATAAAGAAGTATCAATCACGAGTTGAAGCTGAGCTTGGGATTAAAAACAACTGAGAAGGGGCGGCTCTGCCGCCAATGAGGCTAGTCAAACTATTAACAACAAACTCTACAAGCAACACCTCCTTCCTTAAATTGGGGGACAAGTGGAAAGCTAAGTATATTCACTATCAAACTCACAATTACCAATACCCAAAACACATATAAAGCCTCCACCTCCTTCCTTAGATTGGGGGACAAGTGGGTAGTATACTATGTTGTCTTTTGTGGACAGAAAGAGTAAGGTTGCAACTGGAAAACTGGCATAGACAGCTCATACACTTGGCAGTTTCACTGATAGTTTCTTTTCTCAAACTGACTGTTAAAGTTTTCAAACGAAAAAGTGGATGGTCATGGTACCAAACATGAACCAAGTACAAAAGAAAACAAATGGTTTTTAAGAACGTCAAGAGCTCTAAAGACAAAACATACTCCGGGTGTTGACTAGATGGCTAACTTGCTCAAGTAGTGTCTTTTATTAACTTCTTTAGATAGTGTAATATGCAATTTCAAGCAACTCGGCACTTTAAAAAAAGAACAAAAATGACAAACTGATTTTAGTGTACTCAATTCTGCAAATATCCACTGTGGTGTCTTGGTAGTCTTCTGTTGCTCATACTATTGTTGTTCATGGTAACTCTTCTTCTGTTGAGTATATGTACAATAAATGTGAGAGTGGTTTGGATGATTCAGATCTCTGAATTGGATAGGCCAAGGACCGGCAGATACAGATGTGCGTTCAAAATGCTTGAAACATGTAAACTGACCAAGTCCATTTTTGTGCTGGGGTTTTCTACATCTTGCACCTTGGTCTAGTAGTTTTTGGTGGTATGTTTGGAAGAGGTGCAGAGAAAAGCTTTCTTCAACTTTCGCAGTTTGAAGTGATAGCAGGAAACATAACTGGATGGGTTATGGAAAAGGAATTCAAAAGAACAAAACCATATAGCAGGGGCTGAATCCTAGTCTACTGACCTGTTCTGGAGCATCCATGGTAAGAGTATAAGTGTTGAACTTGCTGTACTACCTTCAACAAAACAGAAAATCAAGGATACGTCTGTTCCTCGCGGTCCCTTGCGCGGTGAACAATTGCGCACGGTAGGAATTCCTTGGTTGAATGATCAAGTTTTATCGTCGGCGACATCCTGTCTTGTACCCATGTGTGCCGTTGGGGCGTAAGTTACTCTACGTTGGCTCCAAGTGACGCCCGCGGCTTGAGGGACTTGGCTGACTTGTGATGTGAGCCGGAGTTCCAGGACATTGCGAGATGGAGATTGATCTGCGTCATGTATGTGTCTCACTTCTCGATTGAAACTTTTGGACAGATAATTCTACAGTCACTCCTGGAATCAAGTCTATCTCAATAGATGCGAACTGATCTGAAATCAGATCATCCTCAAGCAAATGATATAATATGTACAGTCGGTGACAAAAAGTTTACGTACCTGTACTATAACTGACCGATTTGGCAACTCTCAAGAAGCATATTGTACTCAACATCTCATGTACTTCTATACCTTAAAGCACACGGTCTAGATGACCACTTGTCAGAGTATCTATGATCAAATTTCAGGATGTGTAATTGTAATGTAGACTCTAGAATACAACAATTTTTACCAGCGAGTGTGTCTACCATTTGCCTTGATCACAGCCTTGATCCGATCAGGCATGGATTCAACCAAAGCTTGAAGCTTGCTCTGAGGGATTGCTTTCCACTCGGTAAACAGGGCTTCACGCATTTCTTGAGGTGTGCGAGGCTGATGTTTTTCAGAAACATTCCTTTTCATTATGTTCCAGAGGTTCTCAATTGGGTTCAAGTCTGGACTGTTTGCTGGCCAATTTAACTTTGTAATTGAATGTTGATCTCTCCATTCTTTCGCCACTTTACTTGTGTGTACCGGGGCTCCATCCTCCATCAAGATAAGATCGTGTGGACAATTAGGTGAGCTGATAAATGGTTCGATGATGCGTCGATAGATCAAATCGACAAAATCGGGTCCAGATCGACACCCTGGGGGCATTATGGTCATTGGCAAGCGAATTTCGGCTGTGAATGCGCCCCAGATCATTACCGAAGTTTGTCCACTCTTGAAACTTGGTGCTAAACAATCTTGGTTGTATTTTTCACCGGGCTTACGCCACAACCGAACCTTCTTTGCAGGCTTTCCTATTTCAAAAGACGACTCATCGGTCCATATGACCTTCTTCCAATCATTGTAAGTCCAATTTTTGTACTGTTTAGCAAACTGAAGACACCTCAGAATGTGTTGGCTCTTGAGATAAGGCTTGACTACTGCCACTCGAGAGTTAAATCCAAGTCTTCGAATTTCTGATCGGATCGTTTGAAGACTTGCTTTAATTGGTAGTTTGCTAGCGATCCAGGCAGCTGAAGCGCGTCGGGTTTTTTAAAAAATTCGCTTCAAAGTTCGCTGATCACGTTCTGAGAATTTCTTCGGTCTTCCGAGTGCTTTTGAGGTCGTTGATACGCGTTTTTTACGGTCATTGTAGATGACTGTGTAGACAGTAGACTTGGGATGGCCCAGTTTTTCAGCAATTTGAGTGCCAGGAATGCCAATTTGGTGCATGTAAACGATGGAAGCCTTTCGGGTGGGAGAAAGGGTGCAGGTCTTCATTTTCTAAGAGGTTTGGGGTTGGTATAGAGAAGATGCTCGAGGACAAAAACACTCATAGACCTCACTGCACTATTACATATGTAGTCGAGGTACGTAAACTTTTTGTCACTGACTGTACATAATTTGCAGGAATAAGTGTATAAACGGGATGCATCAACTGTCTATATGGAAGTTGCTTGGACATCAACTGTGCTAAGAGCATCTCCACCGCAGACCTGCAAACGTAACATTTCTGACATACACGTAAGGTGTATTTTACGTTTGCAGGTCTAGGTCACAAAACCACCTTCCTCCGCGGTCTGGAAACGTAACAGCTCACCATCCGTGTGAGCCTCATTTTCCAGCAAAACCGGTTTCACACGGTCGGTACTCGAAATATGAAGTACCAACCGAATGTTTGCAGCAAGCTGTATTCGAACAGTTTTGGACAGCAATTTGGCACATGTGGTGATAACTTCACCACATGTGTCCTATCATCTTCTTTGTAAAAGCCAGTGGTTACCTCGTGCTATGTAGGAAATAATGCCTTTTCGTAGAACAGATGCAATTTGTTCACAATCGATCAAACTGCCACCACGCACCAGCTCGTAGGCAATTTTTTAATTAACCTAGTCCTCCCTACATATGTATATAACTTTGGTTAAAGTTGTCAACCGTACCAATGCCCGTCTACCTTCCGTAAACAATTTTCAAACTTGTGCTATAGTATTATTCTTTTTTCTTACCCTGTTCACTATTTAGTTGTTATTTTTCTTATCTTATCAACTTGACCTAATTGATACTATAATACCTTCAACGTCCTGATCCACCCACTTCCCATGGAGAGACTCACGAACTCACTAGCACAACAGAAGAGCGTTGATTCACGAGGTGGCAATGACTTTGATTTTGAGCATCGTTCCCAAGATGATTTTAGTTGGCGTAACAACAACAGCAGGCACCATAATGGTAATGGTATTGGTCAGTCCTATTTGATGAAGACTCTTATATTTAAAGTCTGTTCATTCAATGATCATTTGTATAGCCTGGCAAGCACCTAGTCCTCGATTCCTAGTACACCCACACATGCAACAGCGTGCCCCACCCCCATCTTCCAATGCTATTCGGCCTGAAGAAATCGATTCGGATGCGGACCTGCCTTCCCAGAACAGCATTCATCAGCAGAACTTTCGTCCTCGTCAAGATTCCTTCACTGGCCTTTCGCAGAGCAGCATTCAGCGGACCTTTCGTGATCGAGAAGCTTCCTTCGCTGCCCATTCCCAGAACAGTAATCCACGTTTCTTTTGGGCTGAATCTGTTGAATCCAATTATCAGTTCCGAGATCACCGTCTGCGTCAACCATCTGCTGCTTCCTCTGTGGATCCCTTGCCAACTCAAACTCAATCGTCCGCTCATTCCAACACTTCGGATCTTACTTCGCCATCTCCAGCTACCCGCAAAAATTTGAAGAAGTCCACTGTCAGTCAAACCACGAAGACCACAGGCGGGAGCGGTTCGAATTTCAACAAAGAAGAGTTAGAACAACTATGTAAATCATGGCTGAACGTGTCTGAAGATGCCATAGTTGGAAACGATCAGAAATCAACCACCTTTTGGAGAGCTTCACTCTCCATATTTCTCCGTATTTTTACAGTCCATATTGATAAGTGTACTAACAATAAACCTTGATAATCATCCAATTACAACCTGTAACAAGCACTGAAATTTGGCTGATTAGTGTTTAGAGAAACTTTTGAATTCTGAAAACACCCATAACTTTGTCAAATCTGCCTCAAAACACTTGATTTCAGGTGCATTAGAAAGCTGAACTCCTGTTCTCAAAATTTCATAATATCAATAACTATGTAGCTAGTATGACAAACATTCTATGGATCTGTATGTGCAAATGTATAAAAAAGATGATATCTTTTTTAGCAGACCAGCATGCTGTGTGGTCTTATTATGAACTATTTGGAGGACCATTCCAGCTTGCCAATGCACTCAAAATCGAGCGTTTTGGCCTGGAATTGAAAAAGTTATGAGTTTTCTCAGAAATCAAAAGCTCTAAACACTAATGAGCCAAATTTCAGTGCTTGTTACAGGTTGTAATTGGATGATAATGAAGGTTTATTGTTAGTACACTTATCAATATGGACTGTAAAAATACGGAAAAATATGGAGAGTGAAGTTCTCAACGCAGGGAACAAGATGCATATTTTTATTTATTTTTTGCCCTTTGCCTGGCCTCTCAATATTTTTGTGTATCAATAATTTAATTTTCTGCCCAGAAAATATTGTATTTCTTGTAGTGACAGGCGGGAGCGGTTCGAATTTCAACAAAGAAGAGTTAGAACAACTATGTAAATCATGGCTGAACGTGTCTGAAGATGCCATAGTTGGAAACGATCAGAAATCAACCACCTTTTGGAAAAAGATTACTGATGACTTCCATGATTGAATGGATGTGGAGGATGATGAAAACAGGCGCTCACTCAAATCGATTCAGTCTCGCTGGGGTACTCTCAACAAAAACATGGCTCGATTCGCCGCGTGTGTTCAACAAATCAAGATGATCAGAGAAACTGGAAAATCAATCGAGGACCAGTTTCAAGATGCCTTAACGTTGTACAATAAAGAAGTTGGAACTGCCTTTGTCAATGTATCATGCTATAATATTGTCAAATATTCCCCTAAATGGACTGACAACCCTCTGTACATCGAGTTTTGCGGTAGAAAAAGGAAAGCTGCTACAAATGACAAAGATCCAATCATCGATGTAGACGCCATCCCGGCTGGAACTGCAATTGGTGACATCCAACTGCCGCAACTCAATCGCCCGGCAGGTACAAAACAATCTAAGAAATCGCGAAACACGAAGCCTGAGGATGATGAAAGTAATCAAAGCCGACTACTTGCAAACTCCAGCTCTACAGCCCAAGCAACCGAGCGAATCGCTCTTCATTTGGACCGGGCAAGCTCTTCACTCGAGGCTATGCTGGAGCTATCGCTCCTACAGACTGACACCTCACGCCTGAATGAGAACATCCGTGCCGCACTGGAGGCTGACAAAGAGCGCCTCTTGCTGCGCAGAGCTGCTTGTCGCGCGGATTTATGATTTGTCCACACGCTTGCTAAGACCGTTTCAAGTTATTATCTTTCCAATCTGCTTGTGTTTTGCCCAAATCATTCACTCATCTCAAATGTTTTTCACTTTTAACTCGATTAAGTCCAAGATTTTTTTGTCCGTGTGTTGTGTGTGAAATTTTAATTTTGTAATTAAAATTTCTGTGTTGTCATGACTGATCTTTGTTATATGTTCTGCACCAATGTTATTGAGCATTCTCTCGCTTTGTTTTGTGTATATAAGGTATCTCCTATTTCCTCTTTATCCTCATAGTCACTCATTCCTGTGTCATTCCGTGCTTTTCAATCTAACTCATCCAGCTCGCCTTACCTAGTAAATAGTTCTTTGTTTAATATTTTTTTTTTGGTGCAACATATTGTCATATTCATATCGTTTTGCAACTCCCTACCATCATATTATTACGAAATTCCTCATTATGGCTTCCACAAGCGGTTTCTCTGGAATTAATGTCCCTACGACTTCAACCCCTCGAACGCCCTTGTCACCCGAAGGCAAGTGAACACCTGTGTATTCATTATGATGTGATGATTAACCACATCAACTCCATGTATCAAACAGTGACCTGGATTGCTACACCGTCGGCACCTCGATTCCATCCGTATTTTAAGGCTAGAACATTTTTTGAAAACCGTCATGGTCATGGAAGGGAGGAGTTGGCCGTGGCACCAGCACCACGAGTCACTGATGACCTTGACCCGCGACTTATTGCTCTTACCCCCGCTCTTATTCAAGGTTAGTAAAGAAGATATTATGATGAGACCACAATTAACTGTAAGCTAACATCAACACTTCATAATAGCGGGGAGGACTCCCGCCGCCACGCCTCCTCTCAGCCCTGACGCACAACGTGCCAAACATCGTAATGGTTCTCCTCCCATTGTTATTGATCTCACCTCCAGCCCCCGGGCTCAGAGAGAGGTACAAAGACTTGAAGAGTACACTCGTGCTCGTGAATCCAGGCAGGCCTTGCGCCGAATCATCAAGGTGATACAAGATAAGCGCCGAAACGAGTTTCGCGTCCTCCGCGAAGCACTTGGGCAGGTCTACAGCTACACTGGACGTTATCTTCAAGGCCCGGGTGAAAAAGAAGCTGCTGCCCACTTGTTAAGAACGGGACAGTTAGATGACGAGTTTGTCAATGTATTTGATGCCGAAGCCAAATGGCAATGGCTTCAAATGAGGGTGAACGCGCTCTAGACTTTGTCGGCTCAACGTGACTCAGTTATCTACAGACATCTGTTTCTTACTAAGCACTATGTCACTTTACATTCATTCTGATCTTACTTACTTGGCCCTTATATCTCATTGTATTTTCACGATGTCATTTTTGCTTTCTGATATGTTGATTTCTTTCTTATCCAGTACATAGTTCATACTTGCAAGTAAAATACTCATGATTTTCTTTTGATCTTAAAGTTGTGAAAGGCTCCACAAATGAACTATGTACACATAAATTCATTTCCTGATTGTTATGAACTCTCGCGTATAGACGATGATCACAAACCAAAAAAATAATATCTACACTAAAATGGAGAACACGTCAAATCGAGGGGAGGAAAGAGATCAAAATCAGACAAAAGAATTATATACACTGATCAAAAAATTCAATAGAATGAGACATAAAGACAGGAAACATAAATCTAACATAAATCTGAAACAAGCGGCACAAACATCAAAAGAGAAAAAAATAACAAAAAAAAATAACAAAAACAAAAGACAATAATCTACACAATGTGGTCATTGATGTTATCCTTTCCAAAGGTTCTCCATATGTGCTGGACTAAGTTATTGCGTAAACTGACATGGTTAGCTTGCGAGCGAAAGGCGCGACCTTCCATGAAACGAGCAAAAGTAGCAGGTGGACGCGGAAGATGTTCAGGTGGTGGTACAGGCGGATCAAATATGTCTACATCATTTGCGCCTCGAGGTTCCTGAGACTGGTCCTCCACAATCATGTTGTGCAAGATAATACAACAATTCATGATGAGAGACATTGTTGAAGGTTGCCACATGCGAGCAGGTCCTTTGATGATTGCGAATCGCGCTTGCAAGACCCCAAAAGCACGCTCGACGTCTTTTCTAACTGATTCTTGCATTTTAGCAAAAAGCTTTAAACGACAGTCAGATCAAGGTAAAGAAAACCCTTAGGAGTGACGTGAGACTTACCTCAATTTGGGGATCTTGAGGGCACAAGAACGTCTTAATGAGAGTTGCCCACTCGGGATAGATCCCGTCAGCAAGGTAATAACCGGTGGTGTAATCGATGCCATTTACTGAGAAGCGGCATTCATGAGCATTACCCAAAGAGAGGTCATGAAATAAATTAGAACGTTCGAGAACGTTGATATCGTTGAGACTGCCAGGTAGACCAAAGAACGAATGCCATATCCAGAGGTTGTGAGTCGCCACAGCCTCTAGTACCAACGTCGGAGATCCTTCTTTGCCAGTGTAATGGCCCTTCAATGCGTTGGGGCAGTTTTTCCACTCCCAGTGCATGCAATCGAGTGAGCCAAGCATGCCTGGAAATCCTTGCTCTGCGTTTTCGGCAAGGATAGACGCCATATCATCTGCGGTTGGCTTGCGTTGGTATTGATCCTTGTAAGCAAGAATCACACCGAGACAGAAACGTTTAAGCGACTAAATGGCGGTAGACTCTCCAATGCGTAGATATTCGTCTTGGGCATTGGCAGAAGAGCCATAAGCAAGTTGCCGAATTGCAGCAGCGCACTTTTGGAACGGTGATAGCCCAAGTTTACCTGAGGATACACATGAACACGGTCAATGGAAATAAATGACATCAAGAGCAAAACAACAACTGACCTAGAGCATCTCTCCTCTGCGTGAAGTAGGGGTCACCTTTGCCAACCTTATTCATGATACGAATAAATAAACGGCGACTCATCCGAAATCGACGATGGAAGAGCAGTTCCCCATAAACCGGGGTCATATTGAAGTAGTCCCTCATTAAACCTAGGTGGCCAGTAACGCAGTCTCTGGGTAGATTGGGGGCTCGACCGGGTAATGATCCTCCAGGACCTCGAGGAATATGCGAGATAGCGAGGTAGTCATGCAAGTCTTGGTTGTGTGATGCAAGGAGAGCGATAAGTTCTGAGGACAGACCTGCGATGACCACATATTGGGCAATGAAAGCAGGAGCGATGAAGTTGTCTGGGGTCATAGTGCGTAAATATGGACAGTCAAAAGGGTAGGGAGACGGTATCAACTATTAACAATTGGTATGAGTATTCAGAGAGTAATAAGTGAAAATGAGTTGGTCACGCAGGAAAGAGACAGGGAGCAAAGAGGCAAGTAACATGATGTATATCTTATATACACAATGTATCTTCGTGTTGCCGAGTTTGAACTCTGATCAAGCTCAATCAATGCCCGCTCTTGATTACGGTTTTAATATTTATTTTATCTTATCAAGGCAGGCGACTAATCGGTGAGGCTTGATTGGGTTTGAGTTTGGCATTTCGGGCGTGGGTAGGAGCTCAAATCTGCTGAAAAATTTATACCGATTTGCGCGGTGGATGCAACAAAGCTGGATATGAAATACAGCTGTCAAAAATTTTGCAGCAAGCTAATTATGGGTCTGTATTCGGTTTACAGATCAGGTCCGCGGTGGAGATGCTCTAAGTACTAAAAAACAAAAATGCCGGCAAAACCCATTTCAAACAAAAGGGGATACCAATTGAAATTGTAGCGGCGGGTATTTTTGACTAAAAGAAGGAAAGATGGACTAAGTATGATAGAAGGTGATTGTTCTTCAAATCAGAAAACGTAATGATTCATCGATTTGATTATGTAGCACAGTATCGACTAAAGCAAGCAGAGCATTGTTCGGTTCGGCTTTGTGAGTTCCGAATCCTTTGCTTTTCGATCATCGCACAAGCTAAACATGCAGGCCATTCAGAATCAACGTATGTTGAGTTGGATTGAGTCGCAATATAGAATCCGTTTTGAAAGAATCCATCAATCTCTTGCCACTTATAACACACGAAAGGTTTCCAAAACACAGAGATGTCAACATGGATGCGAAGAAACAAATTTAATCAAGACTCCTTACAGTGTAGTCCGTTTGCAGGGTTGGCATGTCTGTTTGCGCTGACACAAAATGGTTGGGAAGGTAGAGTATCAGGGGGGCGCTGGAATCTTCACATCCGAACAGTGTTGGCCTTTCTTCATAGCCGGCGGAAGTAAAGCTGCCATCTATTGCGCTTGGTACTCTGTAACATCAGATACCCCACGAAGCCAGATCAATCGTGTTCTATTCTTGATTGACAGCAAGAGCTTAGGAAAAGGATTTTGAAACTGACTTTGGAAACGGGTACCCTTGGTAGTTAGGATGTCGCAGCTTGAGAGAAGTCAAATATAAGGCGGTGCCATTGGGATCTGTTTTTATAAAGGGGTTCAATAGGCTCTGAATTGAAAGAAAGAGCTTCAAGATGATACTGACAGCCATGGACGTTTGGATTGGGGAATGGATGTCCATCCACAGTCTACACAAGATTTGATTCTAGTTAGGGTAAAGGGTTTTCGCCCCCATCGTAAAATTTTTGGCTTACCGAGTCTATAGCAAATATGATATCGACCTTTCTGGAAGGCTGTATCAGAGGGAAGAGTGGGAGATTTTCTGCAACCATAGCACCATCCGCGAGTAGGAGCGTCTCCAAATTCGTGTTTTCGAATCCAGCATCGCCAAACATTCCAACTCCTTTTCCTTGAAAAGGATTTGGAACCTGGTAGTAGATCCATGGTCAGCACTTTTGACTGGTCGTGGTTACGGGGGAGCTAGTTGATGGTACTAACCAATGCCTCATAAAATTCACCCTTGATGAACAGCTTCAGGAGCTTTGCCCAAAATGGCGGGTCCGGATCCGAGCCGTCCTGTAGAGCAATTGTCATTCACATAGACCTTGGATAAGTGCGGTATAGTCGTTTTGAAAATATGGCTCACCTGAAAGCTGAAGACATTACTCGAAGCACCCTAAAGTGAGGCAAATTTCCTGTGTTAGGGCGGTCAGGAAATTTTGAAGGAGATTGATCTATTACTGAACGTGCCATCAAGAAACTGGGCCCGAAAATGTCATAAGCATCATCCCACACACTTGGGTAAGTCAAGAATGCCAATACATGCGGGATTTATAAGAAGAATATAAGTACCCCATATTGTCGAAACCTTTTGTGCAAGTTATAGCTTGATCGTTCATAGCGGAGGCTTTACTCCCGAGGTATTCCATAGGTATCGAAGCGTTCAAAAGAGGATGCCATATTCCAAAGTCTTCTGGAGTAAACTCGTCTGGTGATTGAAAAACAAACCGTGAGCCGATGCTCAGGTATTTCAGCTGGGGAAACTTACACATTGGACTTTGCAGTGTTATCATTTTGCCTGTGCCTGGCCTAGATAGGGACACCAAGATAGGCAACGGAAATATGCGGTCTTTGTATGCTGGTGTTTCTCTTACAGATGAGAAGAGCACGCCCTTGCCTTTTTCTGGATCTTTACTGTATTCAAAGAGCAAGCGTATCAGCCTCTATTTTTTCTGTTTCACTTGGGTTCAATGACTTACATGAACTGTGTACCCAGCATCCGTGCCCATATGCTAGAGGAGGAATCACAGTTGGGTCATTGAGATGGGTCGGGAAGTTAAAGAGCAAGAAATCTGGCACAGGTGTTGAAACTAACTCTACAAAACTGACGGCAAATCCGGCTTTCTTCTTCTTCTTTGTATCCGAATAATATTTGGGGTACTTCTTCAGATTGCGCCAGCTGAGATAACCATTTTTCTTGGTGTAACCCCAAACCGTTTGATTGAGTGAAGGGAATCTCTCGAAGTTTGAGGTCGCCCAACTACCCAAGAGCCACGATCCCCTGTGATCAAACAAAAATTTACATTAACAGCTTTTTGATTTGATTGATAGACAAATTGCTTGAGACAAACGCTGATAGCCCTGTAGCATAATTCGCAAGTTGTAAGATTCCACCAGTTCGTGCTTTCATGGCCTCTGGATTCCTGGAATCGAAAGCATCCAAAATTGATGAAGAGTACAATAGTGCACGATTTCCTCCCCCAGACAAAGCCAGTGCGACATTGGGCACAGTATCACCAGCACGGGCTCCATTTGTGGTCGCTCTGTCTAAGAAATTTTCAATATCAAAATCCTTCAACCCAGCTTGTTTCAAGAAATCTGACCACAGAGGTATTGAAAGATTTGCTTTGCTTGATATATATGCCTCTTCTCCTTGACTTAAACCCCACTATCATGTATATCTTACATCAGAGACTCTATCCTAAAACGCAATGGAGAATTGAATATCATCACTGCAAGAATTGTACGAACTGGATACATGTTAGCATCCCGAATGCGTAAATCAGCAGGACAGACGATCTTCTTGGGTGCATAGCCGCCCGTAGGTGATTGAGAAATCGCCAGGTCCCTGGGACGTAAGACATATGCTGTTGCGATATCGGGCTTATGCATATTGACCAAGACTCGCAACCCCACCGTGACCCAGACCTGGATCCATCCCGACTTCTTCCGCATGGTGAATACAAAAAGGGTATCCAATCTGGGGGTCAAATCTGCGTTCAAGTCCGCTTTCCTTGCTCTGAACATCACTGAACTCATGAGGAAACGCGGAGAGACTTACGCACGAGAAAGAGTACCTTGGCCCAAGTCACACGGTGAGTATTTGTTCTGATTTGAAACAAACTGGTATATGATTTGAGTGAGCTCGAAATGAAAGGTAAAACAAAGTAGAGAAATGATGGGGGAATTCCATCTGCCAATCATTCGTGGTGTGCAATATGCCAAACCGAAAGACACAGCCCAAGTCTGTTTGTGAAACAAAAGTGCCTCCATGAGATCTCGAAAGGGTCAGCGTGACCCACATATGCTGTACCGAGAAACGCCCAACCTCGATGACACACGGTGGTGTGGGGCTACGCAAGAGATATGCAACGTAACTTGTCTGAGTCACTCTCGGCGAGCGAGCTCGCAATGGAAGAACTCATGAGGGCTTGGACACCGATTCATCCTACATTTCACGGTTCCGACTGTTGTTTTGTGTTCATATCACCGTGCAAATATACGAGATAAGCCTCATGATAGGGCATTCCAAGTCAAAAAAAATGTGCCGAGATTTTAGGCAACTCGAGCCACGTTTTAGGTCTTTAGGGTAGATATCTCTCGGAAGCAGAGGGCTGGGTTAAAGGGATACTTCCCTGCACCCAGTGGCTAGGACCGTTTCAAGGAGAGTGAGGTCTATGGCCGGTGTTGAGCAGCTTGCACTCAGCCCGCTGTGCCTTGGTCATCCTCGGATGAACATTAGCGCTCTTAGTAAATACATGTAGGTTGGGCCCGCCTTCCCAGGCTCAATCTCGTCTGCGCAGGGGCGGGTGTGTCTTTGTGGAAAACATAAAAAAATCACACTTTTTGCAACTTTGAAGCTCGCCGGACGTCCGGGGCGTTTTCAGATGACACTGCAAGTTGGTCGCCATGTATGGATAGTATGTTGTTTTCATTATTTTCCTCTCTGTACAATCAATGTGACTGACTTGCTGACTCAAATAAAATTCAGAGGGTACAAGCCATACATTGGGGGTTAAACCATGCAACGTACAAGACCAAGACTTTGTGGAACATGGTGGGCCAGACTCTGGGGCACTTGCGCAGTGAATCCTCAAGATATTGTTATGTGTATGTATCTTTTCTTTTTGTTTCCACATTTCTTTTACATCCATCACAACTGACTTCATCTTGTAATCAGATTCTATGTGCTGATCTTACAGACAGACTTATATATAAACTGAAAGAGGACATTTGATGAACTGAAAGCAATAACTGACTTTGTGTTACCTACTGAATTCAAGATACTATAGTAGACCTTGATGATTTCTTTGGAGATGGGGCAGCAGGACCCAATGAAGAGCTTCATGAGGCAGATGGAGTAGGAGAAAAGGATGTAGATGTAGATGAAGATGGTGATGATGATGAAGAAGAAGAAGAAGAAGAGGAGGAGGCAATGGAGATGGAAGAAGAACAAGAAGAAGAGTAAGTACTGAGGTTATTGATATAGAAGGTAGTATTTCCCTTATCTTATATGTTGTTTTTTACTCATTTAGGGGATACAAAGTTGAAATCCGGCCGAAAATCTGGCCGCGTGGCCAGATTTCCAGATTCCATTTTTTGCGGTAATTCGGAATCTGGACATGAGTCCGGATTCTCTCAACTTTGAATCCCCCGACTTCAAGTTCCATGCCAACTTTCCACTACACCACCAGTCCCACATCCAATATCGACGACTCGCCCCCACTTCACATAGCAACAACTCGATACCATCGCAAAATAGCCCTCAAGAGGTCCATTCAAACAGCACAACATGCAAGAAAGGCGTATGTTCAGAACAACCTAGACTCACTTGCAATGTTTCAAGTCAATCTCGCCGGGATAGATTTTTCTTACGCATGATTCAAGCCTTACAAATCCATCAAATTGCTGTAACTGACAAGAATTGAAAGAAGGCAGCTTTCTCGGTCAACCAAACTTACAATTTAATCAATCACAACATGAACCTTATGATAGATCAATCTCAAATCTTTCGATTGATGAAAAAGACCAACTCTTGACTTCAATTCTCACAAAGATTCCATCTGGTCTGACTATTCTTAAACTTATCTGTATCCTTCTTTGATTTGATTCGTGTGTGAAAAGATTATACAAAGGATCTAATACAAAATTCAGAGTTCCGAAAAGTGACTCTTTAACAAAACTTCTAGATCGAGGATGTCTTTGGACTAAGATCAACTGCTATTGTCTGCCAGTTTCATTCATCCACAGGTTTGAAAGAGTCTTTGTTCTGCAGCTTGAGTTAAAACATCTAAAATCGCATGTTCAAGTGTTTTTAATTGATATGAAGCAGCTAAAGAGAAAACAAAACCAAAACCAAAAGAGTAGAATAGATTTAAATCAGATCGAATATGATTTTTAAAGTATTAATCAAGAGAAGAAAAATGATCTGTTACCGATCTGTTGTACCATTGAAGTTAATTGTCCTTTATTCAAAAAATCCGTAATCTTCACTCGATCTCGATGATTAGTTGAATTCCATAAAGGAGGATAAGGTTGATTTGAATGAGAATGAGAATGTAATGAAGATCGATTTGACTCAGAGTGTAAGGAAGGATTTCTGGGTGCCTGGTGTTGGATGAGAACGAAAATCTTGAGATTGAGGTGTTGAGTCGGATATGGAATTGAGGTGAGTGAAGGACTGGCCAGTGATCTGTTGATTTCTCTTTTTGCCAAATTTCAAGTCGTGGCCAGAAAAAAATGGAATCTGGAAATCTGGCCACGCAGCCGGATTTTCGGCCGGATTTCAACTTTGTATCCCCTAATTCTTTTTGATAAATTGGGTTTTTGTAAGTCCTGCTTTGAAGGCTCAATTTTGTCATTTTGTATCTTTTTTGTTGTATTGTTTTTGGTATCTTCCACTTTATATTATTTTTGTTTGGACAGCTGTTGTATTTTGGTAATAAAAGCTCTTATTATAATAATATGTTGATTGAATGGAGCCACTGTCAACACTGCCACAGTTACTTTACTGTAAGTAATGGTAAAGTAACTTTTTTTCCAGTATAAGTATCTCAATACTTAGTATCAGTCTGACCAATACTTCACTCCCAGGTCCTTGGGATGGTATTGTCAATTTCAATACCATATTCAGTAAAGTATCAGAAAACCAATACTTTCCCCAGCAGTGGCTGGAGAAGTATGGTCAATAATTTCTCTCATGTAGGCCTAGATACCTCGTGTGTGTTGGTATTGTGGCGCAAATAACAATACAGTATTGAGTATAGTAACAGTATTGCTTTGAGATACCTTACTAAAGATAGGTCTTGTGGGTGTCGTGGTTTTTGATACAGTATTGAGTATAGTATTGGTCAACCAATACTTTACTGCCAGCCAAATTTTACAGTATTGTTTTTTTGATACTTTAACAGGTATTGCCAATATGATACCAGTAAAGTAACTGTGGCAGTGTTGCCACTGTTAATGTGAACCAAAAACAGAGTTACAAAGAGAACTGTCTGCTACGACATGCATTATGTGCCACATAAAGAGAGGGACTTCACTGTTTTTTCATAGGGTTATGGTCAAGTTCTCACTGGTCTAAACAGCACAGTGTTCAACCTGGTTGTACAACACCAAGATTGTCACAAATGGTGTCTGCAAATGCTTGCGGTTTTTTTACTGTGCAGTGTCACCAGTGGAAAACCTGGTTTGGGGGGCCTGTGGTGTACATGTGTGTATGAAATCACAAAAGTCAAAATTCACACCATTCTCTTTGATGCCTTACAACTTTTTCACAACTCCTCTGTTAGTGTTGGTTCAACAGCTGTGAATTATGAAATGGAACATCAGGTGTTGATTGAGCTATCACCCATTCTGATCTGACAAGCTTTGACATATGTGATTAGTAGAAAGCCTCCATTTTTGACCATTTTCACACCTTTTTACCTCTTTTGTCAACAAGGAAGCTTATGGGGTAGGGTTAGGGAAGGAAAGAACCATGTAATAGCTGATATATAGAGCAGTGAAAGGCTGATTACATATGTTTTACATATGTAGGACCGTGCTTTACATTAGTCATCAAAGAGAGAACTAGCAACACAACTGTGAATCTGTGCCTGCTAACTGTAAAAGGACTTTTGAAGGCTGATATGAACGGATTGATTGGTTGTAAAAGTTGTTCAAACTTGATTTGCTATTGTGAAGTATGGGGAATAAGACACAAAACAAAAGCAGGGGCTTATATACCTGGCACAAGAATGTAGCGCACAGTGTCAGCCCTGAGTACATATACATGTACCCAAAACTAACTTGTAACATTAAAAAGATTATGTATAAAATTAATTACATGCTACATACTGAGCTTAGACTGCATGTAACATGTAATACAATGTACCAAAACGCTTATTACATATACATGTACACTGAAAACCACATGTAATATGTCATAAAACACCATTTACACCTCATAACTTGTTGTCAAGAGTTGAAATGCTTATATTACTTATTATACATAACATGCATATGTAATTAAGCATTGCTAGTAATAATCATAACATCTAGTAATGATTAACCCTGAACTAATGTAGTGATAATAACAAATATCACTACAGTTAGGTTTAGAGAGGAGAGTATATAAACCCCGCCTCTCTCAGCCTTCAAAGATTTTCCCCCAAGCAATTATTACACCTCACTTTTCAAGAACAAACTTTAAAGTACTATTAAAGTTCATAATCAAGAGTCTTATAATAATAAGACTAGTGATTTACTTCATTACTTTAAATAGCTTCCTGACTAAAAGTAAGTAATACATCTTCACATTTCTGGATTCTCTACTTCCCCCAAGTAGAAACCATTTTAGGTTGGTGACCTTCAAACATCCCAAGGCTAGTGACCTATACACAAGTACTTTCAGGTTGATGACCTTGAGAACAACCCCAAGTTGGTGACTTTAAGAACAACCAGTTTAGTGATCTTCACCTCACTCTTTAATCTGTTAACATAAAGATTGAAGGAAGGCCTTGATTCCAACCTTCATCCTTTATAATATTTACTTATCA